TTTGCTGGTGTGTGGACTTTTTAGTTTTTTAATTAATTTTAAGAATTTTGTCACTGTTTGTTTTCCAAAAATTAATAAATAAATAAATAAATTGTGGACCGATTTTAATACATATATTTTCTTAATAAGATTGTACTATAGTATAGTTGTAAATTTTTCTTTTGAGTGAACCTTGATAACTTCTATATTTAAGGTAATTTTCTTCCATGTCTCATCAATTTTTTCCAACGTGTATATTATTTTTATAGTATTACAATAATGTATGGAAATCTACCCGATTTGTTGACATTTATGATTACTGCTCCGCTCCCTTGAGTAGTAGCATGATGATATATAGCATATAGCATATTTAAAGCAAAAATAATTTGTCAAACGGGATTCGTACTCCCTGAGCGAACAAACAAACTCTACCTCTTTATTATATTAGTATAGATTATCTTATATCACTTTTACAAATAATACTAAGATAACGTCTCATATGTTATAATCCATCAACTCGTTCAGGCAAAGCGTGCCAAGAAATAGACACACGTATACATACATACCCGAAAAGCATTACTATCCTTCTGGGGCAGTCGGTTAAAATGCACAGACTGGTGAAACCAGAGATAACAGGTTTTTTGTAAATAAAATAGGTTTAAAATAGGTGTAAAATAGGTTGATGTAAAACCTTGATTATGTACTATTGAATGTTTACATTTAACCCATTATCAGCAGACCGCTAGTCTACAATGTAGTATAAGTCGTGTGTTCCAGTGAAAGCGAAACTAATTCTTAATCTATACTAATATTATAAAGAGATAAAGTTTGTGATTTTGTTACGTTGTAGGGGGTAATCTCTGGGTATACTAAACCGATTTAGGTGAAATTTGGTAAGAAGTTAGTTTGAGACCCTGGTAAGGACATAGGATACTTTTTGTGAAAATGGGGATGAAAGTTTGTAGGCAAGCAAGCAAGCAAGCTAGGGACGATCCCGAGCGAAGCGAGAGTGAGTCGTTAGTTATATATAAATACTAACGACTCATCCTCGCTTCGCTCAGGTTCGTCCCGTCGCTTAGTATGGAATAGATAGACTCTATTATAACGCGTTTTGCCGTGGCAATAAGATAATATCCCGCTATAAAAAGTAGCCTATGTCACTCTCCAGCCCTCCAACTATATCCACACAAAAAATCACGCCAATCCGTCACTCCGTTTGACGTGAAAGAAGCCGAAGCTTCGGCTGGTTTATGGCTGAATCATGATTTTTTGGTCCAAAATGGCTGAAAACGGTGCTGTAATTTGTTCCAAAAACAGCCTCTAGTACAAACAAATCAGCGCTAATAAAAGCAAGACGTTAAATGAATATAAAATTTTCTTCTAAGCTATTTGAAACAATTTCCTCAATCAACTAAATAATGGTTTTGTTTACGAAACTATTTTTATATTTAATGGCTAGTCGAAGACGGCTAACACGGTTCGTAATCCGTATATAATAAAATGTCGCTATTTCAGGGCTTTGTGGGGCCGGCTAAAGATGATGATGGCACCAACATATTGCAAAGAAATAGTTTTTTTTTTAATTGGAAAATTTGCAAAACCTAAAAGCTTTCTGTCGAATCGATATATTTAATTTTTTTTTGGAAAATCTTATTGAAATTGTCATTATTATCGATACAAAGGCCGAATCTATAGTTTTTAGAAATTTTGTCTGTCTGTCTGGGAACGCAACACGAGAGTACCACTGGACCGATTTTGATGTAATTTGGTATGATGATAGCTGGTTACCCGGGTCAACATATAGGATACTTTTTACTGCGGGAAAATATCTCATCTCCGAGAAATCTATACTAAACGTTAAAACGTAACTAGGGAGAAATAGGATCGATTGATATAATTATTTTTTTTGTATTTTAGCATTTTTTTCGCTAACTGTACATTTTTTCCAAAATCTGTGAATGCAGTTCAGAATATCTCAAAAAGTTATGGATGGTCTTCTAGGAACGTTTTCCTGTAACTATAGCAGTTAAGGCACCCTTACTGTCCTGTCTCAAAAATCCACCCTGTATAGTCCAGACGGATTAGGATTTGACATTGCAAAATGAATTCAAGGGTTGATTTTTGTTTATTGAATAACTCGTTTATTTTCAATTTTACACGAAAAATAGTTATTACAAATGTTGTTTGAAATTAAATTTCCTACAATTTTGGTTCTCATCAATTTTTTCCTAGGATGGATCTTTTTCGATTTATACCTGAAAAGAGGGGATCTTAGTTTTGTGACGAAATATTTCTAGGGGGGTCACAGAAAGTGTGATACAGCGGGACAATAGGGGGGGGGGGGGAAGCGGATTTTAGCGTGACGTATTTTATGAAAGGCACCTTACCAACCTACCTACCTACCCACCTACCTACCCACCCACCCACCTACCCACCCACCTACCTACCCACCTACCCACATACCTACTTACTGTGTACAATCATAAAAATAATCATATAAAATATATTTTTTGTCCATTGTTTTATTAAATCGTAATAAAGTTGATAAACCACGTAGCGTCTGAGTCATGTAAGATAAGACTGTAAATATTTTTTTGCTTGTTATTCTGATAGCGAGAGTAAATTTACTAAAATAGGTTTCTAACAATGTCAGATTTATTGTACGTTTTTAGTAACTAGCTCATGCTCTTGGCTTCGCTTGCGTGTTTTATTAACACAACAGACAAAGAGTGTTCGAACCCTAGGTGCCTTTCATGCATTCAGCCCTTTTTGTTTTTAAGGTCCCACTGCTGAGCACGGGCCTCCCTTCAGTAGGAGGGGGTTCAGGCCATAGTCCACCACGCTGGCCAAGTGCGGGCTGGCGGACTTCACATGTCTTTTTGAAAACTTGCTATGTTCTCTCAGACATGCAGGTTTCCTCACGATGTTTTCCTTTATCGTTAAGACAAGTAATCATGTTGGAAATGATTCGCACATGAAAATATCAGAGGTGGGAGAACCGGGATTTGAACCCGCTTTACTCGGTCTCCCAAGCGAGCGCGTTACCACTGGGCTACCACTGTTGTTTATGGTGCCTTTTATATGTACATATAATAGTATTCAGGGCTCGGTACCGGCTTAAAAAACCGGTTATTTCTGTAATGAAATGGTTTATTCATCACTCTTTCTTTACCCGGTTAATGAAAACGAACGGTTTAGTAAACCGAAATATTAATGGTCAACGGTTATTCTAAGAGAAAGATTGGATTTCGGTTTTGATACCGAAATAAACCATAATTTCCGTTCATTCATAACTAAGATTCGTACATGAATTCTTCTACTGAGCAATACAAAAAGATTCGCCAAATGTAAACGCAAAAAAGCTCATTTTAGCCGGTTAATTTCGATCATGGAACCTAAATTCCTCAAAAACCGTTCTTCGGGATTTAACCGGTTAAACAACAATCGAAACCTTAAACCGTAAACCATTCGGTTTGGGGTCAATGACCAAAACCCGTTTAAAGATTGAATGGGTTTCCGAACCCGGACCATGTAAGTGTGTACCAGGTAAATTATACAGTATTAGTGGCTCACCCTCGATTCGCTCGTGTTCGTCCCTAGGTACGTTTTAACGGTTAGTATAAAATAGATATAGATATTATATGATGTATGGCATATAGCCTTCCTCAATAAACGGGCTATCTAATGCTAAAAGATTTTTTTAAATCAGATTAATAGTTCCTGAGATTAGCGCGTTCAAACAAACACTCTGCTTCTTTATAATATTAGTATAAATTATAATAAAGGCTTTACCAAATTTTATTACGAACAGTAGTTTGTGTTACATTTTTTTTAACGTGTTGGTATACCTTGTACTTTCTAACGAACTTCCAAAAAAAGGAGTTTGTTTTTTTGTATGTAAGTATGTTTTTTAATTAATATTTTGAAGAAAATTTGAGCGTTTCCAGTCATAAATGTGTAGTGCTTATATTTGAAACCTTGATTCAAAGCTATCAATAACCGTCCGTTGACCTATTGCCGTGTTATTTATAATTGTACTGTGGGTGTACTAGGTTCAATGTCAAACATTATAGAAGTTGTATGAAAGGGGGTTGGTTGTTGCATACTAACTTTTACACGCGGTTTTTAACTTTTAAATAGATTTTCTTTATCGTTCGTATTTAAGAACTATTTTTTTCGGATTTTTCGCGTTTTTTTTTAGGGTACCGTTTTAGCTATTTGGATATGCTGTTAAGTTAATTAATACCTGAAGTTATAAATTCGATTATACCGCCAGTTTACTCTTTTTAATAAATAATAAATATGTTGGGACATTAACAGACAGCACTATCTAGTCCCATGGTAAGCTATGAGGCTTGTGTTGTGGATACCAGATAGTTGATACACTACACATATATAACTTTAGATACATACGTTCGTATATCAGAAATATAAACACCCAAGACCGGAGTACCAACATTCATGCTCATCACACAACTGAATGCCGAACGTCGCAGGTTCGAGTCCCGGGACTCGAACCTGCGTCGGCTGTCACAACAAGTTGGGTCACTACAAACTGAGCCAAACGTGTCCTCATGTATTGGATCTGTAGCTCCAATCTTATCTCCAAAAAACAATATATAATAATATTAGCTGGTTATCCGGGTCAACATATAGGATACTTTTTACTGCGGGAAAATATCTCATCTCTGAGAAATCTATACTAAACGTTAAAACGTACATAAATACGAGTATGTAATATGATTTCTAAATACTCATATTTCATTTCATGTATACTAATACATCTTGAGTGGCAACATTCAATTACATATAATTTGGAGGTCAAGTCAGAGCAGGTTTTTAACTAAACTTACTCAAATATAATTTATTAATTATTGATCATATTTTACCGGCCAATCTCTTTCGTCTGCTCCATTCTACGTGGTATTGGTGAAGTAATCTGTGCTAAACTGGCACGCTTTGAGGCCATTAACAAAAGAATTGCTTTGAAAATAATCTGGTTATTATATATTTGTCAACAGGTGGCGCTGGTGGCAAGGGTGTCTGGGGAGTTCCCGGTTCTGAGCTCCTGGAGGAGTACGTGGAAGATGCAAACGATCCCAACTACGACTCCGAAGCAGTCACCAACGGGGACGTCGAGTTCAAACAGGTCATAGTTGAGGCTGATCCTGAGGAGATCGTGGTATGTATAAAAAAATGATATTTGTGATTAAATACTAGGGTGGAGCGAAAAAAAAATTTTTTTTTTTTGCTTGGATGTAGAATTTGTAGTTTAAAAAAAACTAAATATTTGGAAAAAAAAATTTACTCAACATTTTGAGGGGTGGCCCACAGATTTTTAAAATAAATAATTAGGGTAATTTAAGTTTTTGGTTTGAATAAAAGATTTTTTTTTGGTCATCTTAGAAAACATTCAAGAATTGACGAATATAGTCATTTTCCAACCAACTTTCACTGTAATACAAAAAAAGAAACCTGTTATTTATTTCAACTTTTTTAAAAATTGCATTACTTAATGGTCAGAATTTTTTTTTCGTTCATAACTTTTAATTGACTTTAAAAGAAGGCACTCTAAAGTCTCTAAAACTATTTAAAGTTTTTTTTTTCAAATCTAATAAATTTAAATTTATTAAAAAATTAGTGGGCCACCTCAAAATGTTGAGAAAAAAAATTTCTTTTTAAAAAAATGTTTTTTTTATAAGCTACAAATTCTACTCCTAAGCTAAGAAAAAAAAATTTTTTTTCTCCACCCTATTAAATACTAAACACGCGGGTGAATCCATATTGAAAAGCTAGTATGCTAGCGTGATAACGGTTCAAGGAGAGTTATTGTAATTTGTCATACAATATCCTTTAAGTGTTATGGCGGCTATTTGAATTTATTGATACTTTAGTTAAAGTTATAACGTACTAGCGACTCACCCTCGCTTCGCTTGGGTTCGTCCCTAGGTTGCTTCCATCCCCATAATTAATGATTTTCAGGATATAAACTATCCTATGTCCTTCCCAAGGTCTTAAATTATCTTCTTACCAAATTTCATCTAAATCGGTTTAGTAGTTTCGGAGCCTATTCGATACAAACAAACGATAAAATGATACTATCATCTTTTTAATATTATTATTAGTACAGACCAGCGATTTACGCTTACTTCACTCTATTACAACGGAAATGTGCGTACGTGCTTTTGATATTTATAGTATTTGTATATAGGCCCCTTTTTTAACGTCCCACAGCTGGGGGTGGGCCTCTCTTTCAGTAAGAGGGGGCTCAGGCCGTAGTCCACGCTTGCCAAGTGCGGGGCGGACTGAACATGTCTTTTGACTTTGCTAGGTTCTCTCAGACATGCAGGTTTCCTCACGATGTTTTCCTTCACCGTAAGACAAGTGGTGATCATGTTGGAAATGATTCTGTATGTGCCGTCTTTTCTTCCTCACAAAAGAAAAGGCCCGTGTCCAGCAGTGGGACTTTATAAGGACTGAATTATATATCAGACTAGCGGCTCACCTTCGCTCTGCTTGGGTTCGTTCCTAAATACGTTTTAACGGTTAGTATAGATTATTCCGAGATATTTAATTTATATGTTGACCCGGATAACCAGCTATCATCATACCAAATTTCATCAAAATCGCCTACAGTGGTTTTCCGTAATGCGGTCACAGACAGACAGACAGACAGGAATTCTAAAAACTATAGATTCGGCCTCTTCATCGATAATAATATCTATTTCAATAAGGTTTTCAAAAAAATATTTAATGTACAGATTCGGCTTGGTTATAATTTTATTATATGTAAATAGATGACATTATTAAATCGGCACATCACTATTTTATATTAGTGATGCACCCGATTTTTAGAAGTGACGAAGGGCTGATCAAAAGAAAGCCGTAGCTATGTACTATATATATATATATATATATATATATATATATATATATGTATGTATATAGGTGAAAACGTCCAACTTGGAAAATCGCCAGTGACCTGCATAAGCGCGGTAGGTCAGTTAAATTCGTCTCACCTGTATATATACGTATGTATGTATTACGTGAATTTGTAGTGTCAATTTTATATTACTATTTTTTGGCTTTTATCTATATATGTATGTATTTATAATATTACTAGCCACTCACCCTCTTTTCGCTCGAATATGTGGCTAGTGAAAAATAAAAACTAAACTATCCCACGGGAACCGTACATTTTTCCGGGATAAAAAGTACCATATGTGCTATTTCAGACTATAATCTATTTGTGTGCCAAATTTTAATCCAGATCCGTTCTCGCGCGATTAAATAACAAACATCCATCCAAACTTTTGTATTTATATAGTACTAAGATTACTCCCCCTTTAATGTTCCTTAATAAAAAATGCTGCAAAAATACAATAAGATATTTCTAAATCGAACTGGTAGTTCCAGAGATTAGTAAGTTCAAACAAACAAATAAAAAAATGAGTGAGTGAAACCTTTACGCGCGATTGAAGTAAAACCTTTTAGCAAATATCGCGATTAAATTAAAACAAATCAATAATTAATCAAACTATACATATTACAATCTTATATTTATAGAATATCATATACGGAAAGAATATAATATTATATATTTGTCAGACAATAACAACGGTCACCATGGCAACGTGGCAACGTATTCTATCTCACTCTCTCGCCGGCTTAATCCTATATATTTACGTGTTTGTCTCTTTTTAGTGTCGCATTTTCGTTACATCGAGTTTCAAATCACAATAATTCTCAGCGCTGGATTTACACTAGGGGATCACGGGGCTAGTGCCCAGGGCGGCAAAATTCGGATGGTGGGAAAAATATCTCTTCGCGTTATTGAAAATCCTTTTTTTATTTTCCAAAAAATGAATAATAAAAAAAATTACTAGGTACATTTTTTGAAAAATTGATATGACTTATCAATAAATTTTTTTTTGCATTTTTCAAAAAAATAATAATTAAGAAAATTTAAACTTTATCGAAATTCTAACCATTTTATGTAAAATTTTGATAGTAGGGCGGCATTTTTTACTATCCCCAAGGGCGGCGCTAGGGTTGAATCCAGCACTGACGATTCTAAAGAAGTTTCATTTAAAAAAAAATCTCTTCCGCTGTAAACTTTTATAGATACTAATTTTATCCCACGGTTATCTCATAAGAAGGACATGTCGATAAACGTGCCCAATATTGTTATGTAAGATACTAGCGTTGTCCGCGGCTCCGCCCGCGTTCAGATGACCAAAAACCAAATTCTTAGGTTTTAAATATTAGTATACTCTTACATTGCAGTTTTCGTATTTTTTCTCAGAAATGAGACATTTTCCCGCGATAAAAAGTATGTAGTAAGTAAGGATAACCAGCTATCACCATACCAAATTTCATTGAAATCCCTCCAGTGGTTTTTCTGTGATGCGGTAACAGACAGATAGACAGACAGACAAAAATTCTATAAACTAGGCCTCTGTATCGATAATAATGTGATTTTCCAAAAAAAATTAATGTACAGATTCGGCTTAGTTACAATTTTATTATACATATGTATATATAATGTTTCTATTTGAAATAACACTAAAATATGTTAAGTTACGGCGTAAAGAAGTAACAAACATATATACACACACAAACTTGTACATATATGTAGGATACTAGTGTGTTAAAAGCATTGATATCCAAAAACTCGATATGCGTCTCAAAAATGGCCTCAAAAAAGAGCGCATAATTCGAAAGCGTGCGCTTTTTTTCAAATACCTTTTGTTAGTTGCTTTTCGGATGACAAAATTAAAACGCAAGTTGTTTCGTTTAAGAAACTAGTTCTGTTTTAACTTAACGTCCCATGTCCACGCCAATTTTTGGAGAGATATTTGTTACGGAATGTGTATCTGTGTTTTTATATATCTATAGTTTTAAGTGATTTAGGTAAATAATAAAAATATTTATTATGTAGTCAGCGAAACCCGCCATCTTGCGGCTGATGCGCGTGCGCATGTCGAGCATAATCAATGCGGCGGGTCAATGACTTGCATTGCGACAGTACGTTTACGCTAACCTAAAAAAGAGTCTTCAGTTGTGAGTAGTTATATTGAGATCATTCTAATTTGACAGTTCGATATATGTTTGCATCGGACGGATATTGTATGAAAGTTTGTATGTATATTTGTTACTCTTTAACGCTGAAACGGCTGGATTAATTTCGATGAAATTTAGTAGACAAATAGATTAAGACCTGGCGCTAATATATAGGCTGTTGTTAGTTACTGACTTTCCCACACTCTGCTGGTGGTGCTTTAAAGAAGCTTATGTTTTACTCTAAGGCAGTGGTAGCCCAGTGGTAACGCGCTCGCTCGAGTGAAGCGAGTTCAAATCCCGGGTCTCGCACCTCTGATATTTTCATGTGCTAATCATTTCTAACATGATTACCACTTGCTTTACAGTGAAGGAAAACATCGTGATGAAAGCTAATTGTTTATCGAAAGTCATGTGAAGTCAGCCCCGCACTATGGCCTGATTCCTCTCGCATTGATGGGAATCCCGTGCCCAGCAGTGGGACGTTTAAAAAGGCTGATAACATTTTAAATAAAACTTATCTTTTCAGATTTTTTCGCGGATTCATTTTGATTTTCGGTTCCCGACATTTCGAATGCTTTACAACAATCGTGGTCACGGGAGAGAGATGTCTCTGAGCATTCGAAACGCCGGGAACCAAAAATCAAAATGAATCCGCGAAAAAAAAATTCAAAGAGATAATTTTATGTAAAATATCAAATATTCGCGTATATCTAAGAAGTATAAGGCTGAAAGCAGTTAATACTAAATAAGAGTGGCATTTTAATAAAATATTTTTTATGTATGTTTGTGTGTTTGTTTCAGCGTAAATGTGAGCCGGTGATACTAGAGTACTTCGAGCATGGCGATACTAATGCCGCGGCGGAGGACTTCTTAGAGTTCGTCTCGGCTTCGAAGAGTCATTTGGTAAGATTTAATGAATTTTTTTTGTAATATACAATAGTAAAATCGGCTTGAGATTAAGCAAAAAATTATTTAGGTATGACAACTTTTAATGGTTCAAGTGGGAACGTCGATCAAAAAAGTACTAGATACACAATCCCATGCAAAAGTTCTCTTAAAACTGTCACCGATTGTGTTTAGGTAATTGTTGTAGTTGATATAAATATACAACAATGTAAACTGAACCTTCAATGCAATGCTTAAAGTTGTTTTCACAATATATTTTTTTATTTTATTAAAAGCATGCTCAAATCTTCAAACGGGCGCTCATTCGGTGAGGACATTTTTTGTCCCTGATTGTGTATCTAGTTCTTTTTTGATCGATGAGAGAGACTTATCGATTTTATCGAGATTAAGATCGATTCACGATTGAATTTTTCAATCGAATTGATTAAATATTTCTCAATGAAAAATTAAATTTGAAAGAAAAATTGATTAAACAGCTACATTATCCCATATAGATATAGGCTTTAAATTATATTTGTAACTAGCTATTCACCCTCGCTCCGCTCGGGTTCGTCCCTAGCTTGCTTCCCAATACAAAGTTTTATCCCCATTTTCACCTCCTTACGGGATGATTTCCGGGATAAAAAGTATCCAGTGGTCCTTCCCAAGGTCTCAAACTATCTTTTTACCAAATTTCAACAAAATCGGTTCAGTAGATCTAAAGATTACCCCCCTACAACGTCACAAACTCACAACCTCACAAACTTTACGTCTTTATAATATTAGTATAGTTGTGTTTTTTAGTCTAGCAACCATGGAGTTTGTATAGCAAGACAGAAAAAATACAGTGTTCTTTGCATATACTGTCTAAACCAGCCATACTCAACCTCTTTTATAGGGGCCACAAACACGTTTCAGTCATGGTCTGTTTTCCCTTTTTTTTTTAAACAGAACTAGATTGGTATCGTTTTCAAAATCGATCAACTCATCAAACAACTCTGAGTAATTTACAATTTAAAACGGAAGCCAACTCTGAGATGTAACTTCAGATGGGCCAATAACAAAGGCCCGGCGGGCCGCAGGTTGAGTATAGCTGGATTCTAAACGGTTGTTTAAAAGTTAAAACAATGTATGACAATTCAACTGGCACACTTTGAGGTCAAGAGATATACATGCTTATATTTATTTATCTATTCAAATATGTAATTTATATGTATACTATTATTATAAAGAGGTAAAGTTTGTGAGCTTGTGACGTTGTAGGGGGGCAATCTCTGGATCTACTGAAATAATTTAGATGAAATGTGGTAAGAAGATAGTTTGAGACCTTGGGAAGGACATAGGATAATTTTTATCCCGGAATTCATCCCTTAAGGAGGTGAAAATGGTGATGAAAGTTTGTATTGGGAACTAGTATATAAATAAAAGTGAAGTGTCTGTAGAAGGAAAGATGCAAGTCTGAGAGAACCTAGCAAGTTTTCGAAAGATATGCTTAGTCCGCCCGCACTTGGCCAGCGTGGTGGACTATGGCCTGATCCGTTAAAAAAGTCTGAATACAAATATTATTTTTCCTATTTTTCAGGTATGCGAGACAATCGTAGAGGTCGCACTCGACCACAAGCCATCTCACTGTGAGATGGCCTCTGTCCTCATCTCAGATCTATATGGGAGAATATTCTCCGCTAAAGACATAGCTACTGGTGAGTGACGAGTTAATTTTGTTGTTTAACTATTGTCTAGATTATGGATTCAGACTAAAAGTTTAGGTAGATGGAGCATGTAAGAGACAACGGTTGAAAACTAAAAAACTTAAAAAAAAAGTGACTTCAGGCACTAAAATGTAAAAATTAACTGAACGGAGGTTTGGGGAGAATGGATATAGGACGGTAGTCAGCAAAAGAAGATGGATTAGACTTTTTTGGAATGGGAATTACTTGACCATCTTTCCAGGCAGAGTAGGAAACTTTGGGAAAGTAAGGAGGAATTTAAAATTGATGTAATTGTAGAAGATATTAAGTCAAGAACAGAAACAATCATTTTACGACTAATGCCGTCCGCGCCCACCGCGTTAGATTTTATGGTCAAAATATTTCTCTTAACATCACTAATGGAAAATTGACTAAATGAAAAATAAGGAATATAATTTATATGGCCATTGACCAGTAAATCTTTAGTACTTAATAAATGGGATGCTTTGTTTTATAGAAATAATATAAATGGGACCATAATCTAGCAACAACAACATGCAACTTTCAACCTCCCTCATCCCAGGTTTTAAAATTGATCTAAAATACTTTACTGATAGGCCCCACTTTTACATTAATAATATGAATTAAGATACTTGTCTGTCTTCCACTTAGCATACAAGCACCTACTACACCCGCAACTTGATCTAAAAGTAAATCACTGACAGGCCCACTTTTAGATTTATATAATACTAGCGACTCACCCTCGCTTCGGTCGGGTTCGTCTTATCTATCTGCAGCGTTCGAGCACCTGCTGGAGAAGCTGCCCGACCTGGTGCTGGACACGCCCGATGCAGCGGTCCTGCTCTCCAACTTCATAGCGCGCTGCGTGGCCGACGACTGCTTGCCGCCCAAGTTCGTGCAGGCGCAGGCGGATCTCAACAGTAATGCCAGGTGAATATATATCCCTCTCTCTCTCTCTTCTCTTTCTCCCTATCTCTCTCTCTATCTCTGTGTGTCGTTTTCTAGCATTGGATACCTTAATGCGGAGCTAGACGATAGGGCTTACGACAGATGAATATCTCCCTCTCTTTATCTCTAGCATTGTTGAACTCTATCTGTCTCTTTCTGACTTTGGATACCTTAATGCAGTTACGAGCCTAATTCAGTGGTGTGATTTGAAATTCGAAAAGGAAATGCGACACTAAAAGGAGATAAATACATAAATATATAGGATTAAGCCGGTGAGAGAGTGAGATAGAATACGTTGCCATGTTGCCGTGGTAACCGTTGTTATTGTCAGGCAAATATATAATCCATACTAATATTATAAATGTGAAAGTGTGTTTGTTTGTGTCCTTCTTTCACGTCGAAACAGAATGACGGATAGGCGTGATTTTTTGTGTGGAGATAGTTGGAGGGCTGGAGAGTGATATAGGCTACTTTTTACCGCGGGAGAGTATTTATTCCTGTTGTAATCTCTAATTCCCACGGGAAAACACGTTATAATACAATTTTACATGTTACAAAAAAATATGATCAGAATAACTTGAAACTTGGTATTAATGATCTTCAATAAAATTAAATAAATATGTGTTTTAGCATTTTTCTAAATTCATTCTATATGGGGGTAAAATAGGGGATGAAAGTTTGTATGAAATTACCTTTTAGAGATTTTTTTGTAGTTTTAGGGCGAGCGAAGCCGCGGGTTTTGTTAGTATTATATATTTCTATAAATAGATAAATGAATGAAATATGCCTTATTTTATTATTGATTTGTTTTAATTTAATTATTTATATTATCATCGATATTTTCGATCGAATTATTATTATCGATATTATAATCGAATTATTATTATCGATATTAGGATCAATATTATTATTATCGATATTTTCCAAAGAAGTTTAGTTCAATCGCGCACGCACCCATTTTTTTGTCTACACGGGTATTTCTTTTTTTTTTTACAGACAAGCTATACACAGGGCGGAGACGTTGTTGTCGATGAAGCAGGGGCTCGTGAGGTTGGACAACATATGGGGTGTCGGTGGCGGTATCAGGTAAGGGGGAAAAAATATCTATACTAATATTATAAATGTGAGTTTCTACAATATTTGTTTTAGCATTTTTCGAAATTAATCCCTTAAGGGCGTAAAATAGGGGATGAACGTTTGTATGAAACCTCCATTTTTAGAGGGTTTTTTTTGTAGTATTAGCGCGAGCGAAGCCGCGGGTTCTGCTAGTTTGATACATATAATATGTATATTAAAGAAAATACGTTATTTTTATCAAAGATCTAAAGATTTAGATTATACAATATCTGTATAAATATTATAAATGTAAAAGTTTGTGAGTATGTATGGATGTTTGTTACTCTTTCACGCCAGAACGGCTGAACGAATGTGGATAAAATTTGGCACACAGATAGATTATAGTCTGGAATAACACATAGGCTATTTTTTATCCCGGAATGCGATTCCCGAGGGATTGATTTGTTTTTGTTTCTAGTGATAAAAAATTATATAACCCACACCCCCTCTGCCCCCCAGGCCGGTGAAGTCACTCATCCGCCAGATCCAGCTTCTGATCAAGGAGTACCTGACGTCGGACGACCTCGGCGAGGCCATGCGCTGCGTGCGCGAGCTCGAGGTGCCGCACTTCCACCATGAACTTGTTTATGAGGTATGTACAATATATGTATGCACTAGCGACTCACCCTCGTTTCGCTCGGGTTCGTCCCTAGCTTGCCTCCCAATACAAACTTTCATCCCCATTTACACCCCCGTAAGGGATGATTTCCGGGATAAAAAGGTATCCTTCCCAGTGTCTTAAACTATCTTCTTATCAAATTTCATCTAAATCGGTTCAGTAGATCCAGAGATTACCCCCTACAACGTCACAAACTCACAAACTTTACCTCTTTATAATATTAGTATAGATAATAATGGATGTATATGTGAAACTAACGATTCACCCTCGCTTCTCTCGGGGGCTTCCTTGGTACGTTTTAAATTTTTTTTAGCAGAACCCTAGTTCTTTTTCTAAAATAAAAATAGCCTATGTTACTCCTTATAACATCGGCTATCTGCCAGTGAAAGTCCCGTCAAATCAAGCAAACACACAGCAGACAAAAAAATCTAAAAGTTGTGTTTTTCTTATAAGTACCGTATATAATTTCATATGCATTTAGTAAAAAGGTGTTATTTTGACATGACAAACAGACATATCAATTTTATTTATCTGTATAGATGTAACCAAATGTATATTTATGTGTGAAATAAGTATCCGATATATGTATTGTCTCAGTGCTTGTCTGTGTGTCTCAGAAAGAGCTGAATACCATATACAGCTACATGCCTCGATGATGTAGTCGGTTCGATTCACGTGGTCAGTCTAAGTTCAGTTATTCTTTCTGTTAAAAAAAAAACCAATAACAGCCCGAAGTTGGGAAATTGGCGGTGTTTCACCCCCGTGCCGAGATATACCGAGAGCTGATACCATTTGATACCATCGAGCTGATCTGATGCTGGTCGCAGGAGGTGGATGTGGAGTGGAACTCTACAATGGCTACTAGTGACACCTTCGAGTTTGGACACGTTTGATACGTTTTGACTTCACCATCTCAAGGTTGTCCAGAAGCATCGATCAAAAAAATACAAGATACACAATCTGCGAAAAAACATGTCTTCACCGAATGAGCGTTCATTTGAACATTTGAGCGCGCTTTTAATAAAAACAATATATTTGTGAAAACAACTTTAATCATTGCATTTAAAGTTCAATTTACATTGTTGTATATTAATTTCAACTAGAACAATTATCTAAACACAATCGGTGACAGTTTTAAGAGAACTTTTGCATGGGATTGTGTATTTAGTACTTTCTTGATTGATGTTTGGAAGAGATTGCTATCAGCAGTGCATCTTTTCTATGCAATTTTTTTAAATGGTGGTTTTATGGTGTACAATAAAGGTGTTATTGCTATTCCAGACAGTTCTGCTTGCTGTAGAGGCGATCAACTCGAGTGTAGAAGAGCAACTATGCAGGTTCCTGGCCGAGTTACAACGTTGTGTCATCGTGTCTCCTGATCAAATGGACAGGGTGAGTAGTGCTTGTTGGTTATATTAGTCTCGCTGAGTTTCTTTCACCAGTTCTTCTCAGGTCTGAGGCTTCTTCTTTCGAACTGGTAGTAGACTCATGACGTTCAGTAAAAAAATGTAATAATTTAATGCTGAATAAAATATGTATTTTGAATTTTGTTGCATTAAATTTTATTTTAATACGTGGCTGTATGGTATGAGTGTTTGTCTGTTTATTTTTATAATGTAACACCTGACGGCGCCACTGTTTTCCGGTTTTGTAAAGACGTTTACTTACTGTGCATTGAGTTTGATTTTTCTATATAAAACTTTTAGTCGGGTATAAACTTAGCAGTTTTGTTTATTATACTAATCTTAATTGTACTCAAAGTAGTACTTGTATTTGGGTAAATAGTTTATTACTTTTCCAGTCGTCTCAGTGCTTAGGAGTCCATGAAGTACGTGAGCTCAAAATGGGGGAGATGGGGAGGGAAGGTTTAGTAAAATCTCATAAAATCTCATTTAAACTGAGGGGGACATCACTGGAAAATCTCATGTCAAGTTTAAAAATGGATATTACGTAGATAATAAAAAATATGTTATAATGTTAATGCAATGTTTGTTTTTCTTTCATTTCTTTTGAAATATTCTATTTTGCAAGGCTGTATTATTTTTATGTTTTATAAAAATGAATGTACTTCAGCAACTGTAGCGTAAAGTTAACGTGAAGGGGAAGTGGAGGTCCCACCAAAACTCACAACAAACAAACACACTTTCACATTTATAATATTAGTATGGATTCTGTTCTGTTCTATACATATAATAAGATTTTGACTAAGCCAAATCTGTGCATTAAATAATTTCTTAATCTCACCAAAGGTTGAGGAGATTTAATAAAAAAAAACTGCTTATTTGTTCCAACAACTAATTTATCAAAAATGTTTTTATTACTAGACTAGGGTCGATCATTTTTGAAACAAAAAATAGTAGTAGGATGAAACCCATCGGAAAAGAAAGAGAATATAACAAAAATGATAGGAAAAATTTACGGGCGCTCTGAGGTCGGGAAGTGGGAGGGGGTCAGCTTATAAGGGTAAAAAAAACAAACAAACAAACAAATAAAATGGGAAAAAAGTTAAATGGCAAAGTTGTAAGTAATACAACTTTTGTATTTACACTTTTTTCACATAATCTCAAAATTTATTTAAAAAATTCAAATAACCATTTTTGCCCTTTTATAAGTTATCTTAAAATAGCAATAAATAGGTATCTACGCATTTAATTTAAAGAAGATTCTACATACAACTCTCTCAAAATATTGTACATGTCTTATTAAATATTAACTTTATTAATTGCAATTTAAGATGAAATTTGGTAAGAAGATAGTTTGAGACTGTGGGAAGCACATTGGATATTTTTTATTCCGTAAATCATCTCTTATGGGGGTGAACATGAGGATAAATGTTTGTATGGGGGATCATGCTAGGGACGAACCCGAGCTAAACTAGGGTGTCACTAGTCTATACTACATACATATAAATTATTGTAAACGTGTCTGTTTGTAATGTCAAAATGACAGCTTTTTACTGAATGGATATAAAAGTATATAATATATTTTTGTCTGTCTGTTTGTTTTTTCCGGTCCATCTCCGAAACGGTTGGATGAACCTAGTATAAATTTTGAACACTTTTTCCGTCTCCCCAGGGCTTCCTGCGCGTGTTCGAAGACATGTCTGACATAGTGCTGGACGTGCCGCTGGCTTACATCATGCTGGACCGCTTCGTGGAGCGCTGCTCGAGCCGCCTGCGCCTCGGCGACCACGTGCTGCAGCGGATGCCCACCAGGTGAGTGGGTTGGGTTTGGAGGGAGGGGGGAGGGGTGGTGTTTGGAATAACTCGGGACGGTTGAGGAGAAGTGGGGGAAGGGAAGGTAGCCTAAGTTTATAATAATTGAGTTTTACTGTCAATAAATTCTCAGTAAAAACCAGAGTGGAGAAGTGTCTTCACACCGGACTTGAGAGTGAAAGTGTTGGAGTGTACACTGTCTGTGAATACACTTGTGCACTATAATATCTTCTGCAGTTGTCGAAAGTCTAAGTGAGATTGCCTGCCGTGGCTCAAATCGGTCGGGATCGCATTATTATTATACCTTTTTAGGTTCTATTTTTTTTTTTTAGATAACCACCAATAGCTAATTTCTTCATTATAACCTGTTTATTGGTATTTGAACATATTTTTTTTTAGATAGCAATTTTTTTTGTTTCCAGAGGACGCAAACGTTACGTCTCCGAAGGTGACGGTGGTGCGATCAAAGACCACGCGCTAAAATTGCGCGAGTAAACGCTCTACGCGCTGCACGCACAGACACATAGACAAACACACATATTATATACATAGAACATATATACACATAGTACATACACACATATATAATATCAATATATATATAGTATATTTGATATATGATATTATAACCAGACATGAGAAGTATACAGGATGGTTGGTATAAAAAATTTTTTCTCAAGTGTTCTCTCTTTAGTTACTATTTTAATAGTTTTAGTATTATAGTTACCAAATGTTAATTTGTTTTTTTTTTTAATATTTGTATTTTTTTCTTTGCAAAATACTTCCGTCCTGAGCTGACAAGACAATTTTATTAAGTAACTTATTATTTATCCCAGGAGTTAGATAATTTAAAATTTAAAGAGTTTCGAATTTTATGTGCAATTTTTTTGTTTTTTGGGAGATTTTATCAAATAATGCCGTCACCGAATCCTAATGGAATTTGCATAATAATTGGGAAAATTAACTTGTTTTTTTTTTTCACTAACATATTGTATTGTCAAATAATGATTTAATCATCCTGTATACATATATTTACATAGATATAGTATTTTATTATTATGATGGTTCTTGTTGTAATTAAAAATTAAATTTTATAATTATTTAAAAAAAATGATCGGATTTTTGTTGTGTAAGAGTGAAAGGGACAGAGTGCTAGTGTATGGCTTTCTCCCTCACACGCTGCACATAATATTGTCAGTTAGATTATTTTACGTAAAATTCCCGTGTCACGTTGCTTGTCCGTGATGAACTCTGAAACTACATATCCCATCTCAACGTATTTATTTTTTAATGTGTGATTATTAAAACACAATTATATTAAAACAATTTAAAAGATAGAATTGTTTTTATCCCGATTATTTTCTTTTTTTATTGCAAAATTAACGATTTGCATATGTGTTTATGTATATACATAAAATGCTTCGTGTTTCTTGAGGAGAACTAAAAAAAACTTAGGATTATGGAGGATTTTAACGAAAAATTATTCAAAAATCTATTTTACTCGACAAGAACCATTATAAATATATACATTTATATATTTAACACATTATATATAACATTTTGACAACCGACGGTGCGTTAAATAATTATATCGTTAAGTAACTACAGCAATACACAGACGTACAAAATGCGATGCGAGTATTATAGTGAGTACTATTTTTTTTTTCAATATACTAATAGGGTAAATAGTTTTTTTAAGTACTTTTTTATCTGTAGCTTTTTTTTGTGGCAGTATAATTGAATGTCTTTATCTGATCTAATAGGAAAAAATCATTTTTAGTGTTCTAAATTTTAAAATGGAAATGGCTATTGTAATCCTTTTTTTTTTCTTTTTTTTCTTTTGTGGCTTAGAGTTGCGTTAACGGACGCAATACATTCTGCCAGTGTTTTTTTAATTTTTCTATTTACCCTATAAGTAAAAAGTTAATGTCATAATATTCTTACCCCTAATATTATATAATTAAAATATCTTTTTAAATCTATAATCAATAGTATACGCTTAGAAATTCCTAACTTAGATATGTAACCTTTCGTTAATCGAATTATATATAGTCTGTGGCGTGCAAATGGCGCGAAAGTGTTCTTGGACTTGTCAAAAATGGCGGCATTTTACAGTTAATTGTAGGTTGCTTCTGTGGAAATATACAAGATGGCTATTTTTAATATAAATAATTTTATTCGTAAACAATATTTTATAGTGAAGAAATTAAAAAAATAATAATTAAAGTAGTAAAAAAATAAAAAAGTAACGCCAGAGAGGTTTTTTTCCGCTATCGAAGGTGTCACTGCAAAATGCCGCCATTTTTTTTTAAATAGATATATATTAAGTTGTGTAATCATTTAATCACTGTTCTGGACGATTTTGTATCGTCCAACTAGTTTAGGCGTTTTAAAATTTCTATTTTATTTTGATGAGTAGGTATTATGTCGCAAATTTATTAAAAAAAAATCATTTTTTATTATTATTTTGTCAAGTCTTTTTTTTAAAAGTAAATATTCTATCAAAATACTACACAGGATTGAGAATGTTTTTTTTTTAATAAAAAGCATTGGTTTCTTTACATAACAGCCGTGCCATGATATTTTTTTTTTATATAAAACACAAAGATCTCAAAAGTAATAAATTTGCGATATAATTCGTTTTGCTTTCGTTTAAAGCGGAATTGTTTTTTTTTTTCTAAAAAAAAGAAGGGAAACAGGCAAAGATATTTTACTTCTATGCCAAAAAAAAAATGATACAACGATAGATATACAGAAACGTGTACAGTACAAATAGGTTTTTTTTGGTGTAGAAGTGAGATTATTTTTATATATATTTTTTTTATTTTTTCCTTCAGCCGGTGCCTGTTTTAAGAACTGATAATGATGTGTTCGTTATTTGTGAGTGTGTTTGGTTTATGAACGGGCGTTTTTTAATTTTTTTAATCCATATTTAATTCAATTCATTTATACTATATGTAAACAAGAAAAAAAATTGTTTTTTTTTTCTCAGCACATTGGTTTTTTTTTTAATTTAAATGTCAATAATTTTCTTTCCTAGTATATTATGTTGCAGTAATAATCTTTTTTTGGCATATCAGTATTTGCCTATATTAATCATATTATTCACTTTTAACTTTATTAATTTGGACTGAATAATGGGGTCTATAAAATTTATTGAAAACTATTATAGTTTTAATTGAAAACGGCTAATTCATCGAAAAAAGCATTGACTGTAGCATGAACTAGGTTCATTTTTATACTAAACTAGGTTCATCCCTAGTTTGATTCCCCGTACAAACTTTCATTCCCATTTTAACCCCTTGAAGGGATGATTTCCGAAATAAAAAATATCCTATGTCCTTCGAAGGATCTCAAACTATCTTACCAAATTTCATCTAAATCGGTCCAGTAGTTTGAGTTTATTCGTTACAAACATACAAAAATACAAATCTTTCCTCTTTATAATATTAGTGTAGATTATTTTTGTTTTAACAATAAATTTTAAAGTTTTGCATTCAAAGTTAAAAAGCGCCCGCTCGTTAAACTCTATTATTGTCGATGTTTTAATTTTTGGTGGATTTTGTATGGTTTAAATTACATTTTTTCTTTTTTTTTTCTTTAAAAACAGAGTCACTATTATATAAAATTCATCATTCAATAAAACAGATAAAAAATGACAAATTAATTTTTAAGTATGTTTGCCATGTTGCTTTTTGCACCAACTAATTAAAAAAAGTAATGTCATTAATGATTTATAGCTGTCTCTGTCTAGCGCGTAAAGATAGAAAGAGACGTAATAAGTTGGTGTAGAATAGTTTTTAAAAGCATTTTTAACATGTTTCGTGTACATATTTCTTTGAAGCGGATATTAAATAGAAGATGTTCACTTTATTTTTGTTTTATTGATAATTAATAACTAACCCCCTTCTTACGTTTTCAATTTTTGAGTGGACTATTTTTTTTTTAAATAAAAGTAGCCTAAGTTACTGCTTATTACATTAGCTATCTGCGAGTGAAAGTCCTTTCAAAATCGGTCCAGCCTTATCGGAGATTAGCTGGAACATTTTTTTTAATTGTGTTAATAAAAAAAATTCTAAACGAATCTAACGACGTATAAATAAACAAAATCGATTAAACTTTGTTAATTACGAGGGAACATAAAATCAAACTTAAATACATATAGGTCAAACACATAACCCTCTTTTGGGCTTCGAAGCTTTGACGCTAACGGGTTAAGTTACTTTATAAAATTATTAAAAAAAAATAGATTTCTATTTATTATTTTATTGCGTCTTTTCCACTTTCACAAACATTTAAAGCACTACACTAAATTATATTGATTACGCCAAATAATCAATTACATTAGTACCTGAAAAAGAAATTATAAACATTATTAAATTTGCTCAAACTTAAAATATTCTATAGTAGCGACTCACCCTCGCCTCGCTCTATACAAACTTTCATCCCCATTTTCACCCCCCTAAAGGAATGATTTCCGGGATAAAAAGTATCCTATGCCCTTTCCAGGGTCTCAAACTATCTTCTTACCAAATTTCATTTAAATCGGTTCAGTAGATCCAGAGATTACCCCCCCTACAACGTCATAAACTCACAAACTACCTCTTTATAATATTAGTATAGACTAGGGACTTACCACTAGGGCTTTCATCCCGGGAGTCTCGGTCTCGAAAATTTCGAGTCTCGACGATTTTTTCGTATTTTCGAGACTCGAGACTGCTACCGCCAGTCTCGAGACTAACGAGACTTTCGAGACTTTAGTCCAATAAATACCATTATTTAAAAATAAACTAAATCACCATATTTTTTTATTGCGGTTACGTGGCAACACTGAAAAGTGTAACGTAGCATAACAGCACAGAGGGAAATACTAAACCATCGGTAAATAAAGTAAATAATATCTATTCCCTATCTAATTCTAACGTAGAATCAGAGGTTTTTTCTACCGCAGGTTAATTTTGTAATAAAACCAGATCCTTTCTATCTGAAATAACACTAAATACTCCATGTTCTTACTTGCCCACTGTAAAAATTAAAAAAAAAAAACCCTCATAAATATTAGGTTCTTACATATGAAATTGGCGTTTTATCAAACAGATCTAAAATATCTGGCGTTTGGTTCCAAATTCAAATGTATTTCAAATATAGGCTTAGGTATTTGTTTTTCGAATTCGAAGATGCATTTGTTTTCGTGCCATTTGATTTTTCTTTGACAAAACTCTGACGAATCTGTTCACAATATACTCGGAATATTGTGAACAGATAAAGAATATATAATCGGAAACGTTCATCACAATGGTTGAACCCAGGAGAAATCCTTTTTTTTTTTTTTCGCTGGGGAATCCCATCATGGGGACCCTGCCGCCGTCATGGGCAGGGTACTGTGAGACTCCTACTCACTAAAACCCACAGCGGAACCCGTCGCCGCAGTGCAATGGGGTGTGCAGGATCGCTTGCGCATTCACTACAACACCCCTGCGGACAGCCCGTACCCCGCGGGCCTGCCTCGCCTAACCCCAGGAGAAATCCTGCCCCAAGCGAAAGTTGACTCAAAAAAAATTACAGGTAAGTGTCTGGTAGACCAGTGCTGGTGTCATCCACTACAGCTTCCTAAGATCTGGCCAGACGATCACAGCAAGATCTGTATTATCAACAATTACAAACCATGAAGGAAGAGCTAGCCGTAAAATAACCGAGACTGGTCAATACTCTAGCCCACTGCTCCACTTAATTTAGTGGAGATACAATTGAAATATCTCCGGCACCCACAATTCTCCTCGGACCTTGCTCTTACTTCTTCTTCTCCCTGCCCATTTCCCAATCACTTGGGGTCGGCGCAGTACATATTCTGTACTGCTGATAGGATTTAGCAAAAGTTTTACGACCGGTCGCCTGCCTGACGTCAACCCTCCTTAGGAATGCTATTGTCTCTCTTTGTCTCTTTGACCTTGCTCCTACATATTACCACTTTTTCCGGAATTTGGACAATTTCTTGCAGTAAAAAAAAAACAATTCCGATGAGATAGTCAAAACCGCCTTCGGAGATTTTATTGATTCTCGCTCCCACAATTTTTCAGCAAACGAATCAATGAACTACCTATAAGATGGCAGAAGTCCATAGATAAAAATGGTACATACTTTGATTGATTATATACATACCTATATAATTTCATATTTTTTTTTTGTTTTGTGTTTTCCATATAAAACGCCAATTTTATATGTAAGGACCTAATAATTGTTAATTTTACTTGTATTTGAGTTTGTAACGAGTATCGACTGCCTAACTATTTTTTAAGTAGTCTCGAAAGTCTCGTGTCTCCCGGGAATTTCGAGACCACACCGAGTCTCGATTTTTTTTCCCGGGACTCGTAAATATAACGAGACTGAAAGCCTTTCTTACCACCCCGAGGAGGCCACAACGATTCTAAAGAATTTTCACTTTAAAATCATCTATACATATAATAAAATTGTAACTAAGCCGAATCTGTACATTAAATATTTTTTGGAAAATCTTATTGAAATAAACATTATTATCGACATAGAGGCCGAATCTATAGTTTTTAGAATTTTTGTCTGTCTGTTACCGCATCACGGAAAAACCACTGGAGAGATTTTGATGAAATTTGGTATGATGATAGCTGGTTATCCGGGTCAACATATAGGATAATTTTACCGCTGGAAAATATCTCATTACTGAGAAAATAATACAAAAACGGTACTTAATGTAAGAGTACGAGTATACTAATATGTAAAACCTAAGAATTTGGTTTTTGGTCATCTGAACTCGGGCGGAGCCGCGGGCAATGCTAGTACTAAATAAAAATATTTTATCCGATTTTTCACGGATTTAATTTGATTTTTGGTTCCCGACGTTTCGAATGCTATCCCTTAGGTACTTATACTACTTATTTAAGAAAATATAGTTTTATTTAAAATGCATAAAAAAGAAACCGACTAATTCCAGGCACTAAAATGTAAAAAATAACTATACGGGGGTTTTCATTTAGAATAGATACCTAATCAGATATTTTCGAAGTCGGTGCCAGGCGATGCAAAGCAAATCTAATATATTTTGATACGTAAAATACATATTATATACCTATTAGATATTCATATCTTAAAATATTGTCCGCTGGCACCGACTTCGAAAATATCTGATTAGGTATCTATTCTAAATGAAAACCCCCGTTTAGTTATTTTTTACATTTTAGTGCCTGGAAGTCGGTTTTTTTTTTTAAGTTTTTATGTTTATATTTTAGTTTAGACGTAATAAGCAGGTAATTTATAGGAAGAAAGTTTTTAATAACATATTCGATTAAACAATTTGTTTAAAAAAATATATTTATTGTTGATTTTTTTAAAAACCGCTCGACCGATTTCGATAAAATTTGTATGGGACCACCTGGGAAGTACACCCTTTCAAACAAAACAAAAATTTTCCAAATCGGTTCAGCCGTCTTCGAGTAATCGGTGAACATACATTAAAAAAAAGGATTCCGACGAATTGAGAACCTCCTCGTTTTTGGAAGTCGGTTAAAAATGTCAAATATTCGCGTAAATCTAAGAAAGTATTAAATAAACTTACTCTTAGAATGTTAATTATTGTTACTTTCTTTCAGCTCTTCTACCGTAAACGTTTTGTGGTTCAGGAACATCAAGCTTTATCAAATTAACGACAAGCGTGATGAGACCAACCACAACGCTCACTCCCAAAATAATCCCCATTTCAACTTTCATTTTATCTGTAAAAAAAAACCGTCTGCATATAAAACGAACTAAAAAGACAAGATATAAGATAAGAGATAGTTGACGCAGTTATAGTCGGAAATATACACGTGGCAAGATTCGCAACAGCAAGCAAGTGTGAAACGTATAAATAAATAAAGATGTTGGTACATTAACACACAGCACCATCTAGTTCCATGGTAAGCTACGAGGCCTGTGTTATGGATACCAGATAGTTGATACACTACACATATATAACTTTAAAAACATACATATTATAAATATAAACACCCATGAGTGGAGTATAAACATTTGTGCTCGTCACATTAATGAATGCTCCCAGCGGGACTCGAACCCGCGACCGTTGGCACAGCAAGTAGCACTACAGCCTGTATAAATGTTTCCGACTGCTATTCGTACATCAACTTATTTCCATCTTGTTATCCCTTTAAAAATTGTAACGTAACTAAATTGATCCAATTTCTTATTTGCCACCCGCCGCCATTTTGTTTTTTCATCAAACTTGTTCAAGCATGATGACGCAATAGCTCAAAATTACAATTAACGATTACGATAAGTTGTATTTACATAGTAGGGCTTTTGAATTCATAATAAAAAAAAGTAAACCTCTGACTAAGAACATACGTAACCTTCGTACTATAAACTATTTATAATATAATAATAGCAATAAAATATCTATCAAACCTCAATATCCGCCTTAAAATGCCACTTTTGTTGCAATGAATTATGCGCATACGCAGAATAAGAGCGTCACTTCCGTGTGGATTATAAATAAAACTAAATGCGTCAAAGGAAGTGAAATAAAGTTAAAACGAGTTTTACTTACCGATATTACAATTGTTTGTTTGTAAATCACTATAACAACGGGTTACAGGCTGAATTGATGAATCGTTAACTGAATATTGAAAGAAAATGAAACTTGTCCTTGGGGTACTCCCTCCGTCACAGACTAAAAAAGTTAAAAGATACAAGATCTCTATGTGAAATGAAATTAATCGTCAAAAATGTAATTATAGAAATTACTTTGTTAAAGTGAAGCTTCTGGTTTAGGCAAGATTTTTCTAGACAGTCTAATATTGTAATTGTAATATAATAAACATAATTAATTTAAAGATAAGAACAATAATTATAATTTAATTTTTATTTATGTAATTGGCAACACTAGTTGAAAATCTAGGGGATATTTTGATATAAGTAAACTCAAAGCTACCAATGCGACCTATTTACTCGGTGTCAGCCTTACACGATACTCGTACCCGGCTTAGCATTCAGGACAAGAACGTGTTACTTGTTAGGGCAGTGACCTATACGGTAAGAAAAAACAGTTCTAATTAAATATCTTAATTAAAAGATATTGTGCATGCGAAAAAATGATGACGTAGTTAAGTTAGTTTTTGCTAGTTGTAATATATAGGTATTTTTTTGCATACGTGGCTAATCTCTGTAAGAATAGCCGCCGTGTCCGAAGTTGTTCTGGAGGCCATTTTGTTTTACAATCTGGCGTCCTTCAGTAACTTTTACTTTGTTATAAAGTGATCATTCAAATGATACAACTAGCTTTTCTTACGTATATAATATAGTGATATCCCGCGAAAATCTTATAAGTTAATAGTTTATCTAGTTTGCCCTCCTTATCATAGACTAATTCATTGCTTGATATGGATAAAAAAGTAGCAAATTACATTTTGATGAGGCATTAAAATGCTATTATCAAAACCTCTTGTCACAGTGTCACACTACCATTTCTAAGTAGCCAATGTCACTGACAATGAGTCTAACCAAGAACGCAGGACAAGTACACTCTCTAGTCCTAAATTTTCATATTTTGAAGGTACAAGACGACATCTCGTTACGACCAGTGCAAAATCATGCTTAATCACGCAGGACCATCAGCTTAACGTGCTCTACATCAGCACGAGGTATATAAACTCCCAACTTCCCAACTCTGTTTCTGAGTATTTCGAGACAGAAAAATCTCGGTAACTATTTTGGCCCGACTCGGGAATGAATCTTGTACCTGCAGCCTTGAACTGACTGTATTCATAATGTATTTTTAATTTTAGTACGTTATCTATACATATAATAAAATTGTAACTAAGCCGAATCTGTACATTAAATATTTTTTGGAAAATTATTGAAATAGAATCTCTAGAAATAGAATACGAATCTATAGTTTTTAGAATTTTTATAGTTAACGCATCACGGAAAAACTACTCGAAAGATTTTGATGAAATTTAGTATGATGATAGCTGGTTATATAACATATAGGATACTTTTACCTGCGGGAAAATATCTCATCCCTGAGAAATCTATACAAAACGTAAGTAGGGACGAACCCGAGCGATGCGAGAGTGAGTCGCTAGTATATATATAAATATGTATATAAATAATATAATATTATGTTGTGGGCTAAATGGTCAATTCCTTTGCCTATTAGGTTGGCAGCTTTATTTGTCATCCGTGACCATTCATATATGTAGGAATATACTCTATGTCCATGACCACGGTTGGCAGCACTAGCTGTCAAATAAAAAATAATAGCACAAAAATATTTTTGTCTTGTACGCAGGTAGTCGAAACACCACGCAACAACGGTTGTAAATTAAATAAAAAATAAATTTTAAATAACAAAATGAGCGTTCGCGAGGATGAAGATCGACATAAGAACTGCCCAAGCCGTAATCTTGGCCTTGGTGTGGCTGTAGCGGCTATAGGAGTCGGGGTTGGGGCCGCTTTGTACTACTTCATGAATAAACGGCAAGAGAATCCAAATACCGCGGGATCAACCACACGAGACTGGACTTGCGAGCCTGATCATACCTTGTAAGTATATATAAAAACAAGCGTCAAAAGAAAAAGCTAAATTTTTTAAATGTCGTTTTGGCTTTTCGCTGCTATCGCTTTATATCATTCCACACTGAAAGGCTTTGAACCTTGACGAATAATTTTTCATTTTGTAATAATAACAGGTTTATTAAACTACCAACTAAGTATAATGTATTATCGTAATGAGTTGTACTCAAGTAAAATGCACTTTGAACTATTAGTTTATTTTGGTTTATTTACTTTTTATTGTTAGTAATAACAATAGATTATGCTGTTAGTTATTTATTAGATATACATACTTATGCCTCCTTTCTAGACTGTATATTTCTTGTTTTTGTTATTTAAAACCTATTGATTTCATTGATGCATGACTTAATTATTTTTTTTCACCCTTATTCATAATATACAAATAATTTTTATATTTTTTTTAATAATCATAATATTATTTAAAACATCCGATTTTCATTGCATGCTTAATAATATTTTTTCACTTTCATATCATTTAAAAACAAGGGAAGAAACAGAAGATTTTGAACAGAATTCTGATAATTCTTTCACTACAATATCTGAGCATAGCACAACTGATACTAGCATGAACGATAGTAATATCTGTAGATGCCCTCGTAATAACATTTCTGACGATATGTACTCAATTATAAGTGAGAGTGAGTCAGACTCAACTCTTAACTCATCTTCTGATGACTATGAAACCGAGTCAAACAGCAGTACATCAAGTGATAGTACAAGCGATTCAGATTTAAATGAATGGGATATAACAAATAGTTCATACTTCCCTAGCTATGCTCCATCACCAACAATACACCAAATAAAGGAATATGCTCGCAATTTAATTTCATTTAGATCTAGTAGGTAAGGATTTTTAGTTAGATTGCATATTTATTATTTATTGTTATACTAGCTGACCCGACAGACGTTGTCCTGTCTACACGTCTTTAATTTGAAAATTTCAAACTTTTTTTAATAAGCTAAAACATTCTGGACCATTTTGATGAAAATTATTATTCAAATTGTGAATCTAAACCATTCCCAGATCCCTTTGAACACACACAAAAAATTTCATCAAAATCGGTCCAGTCGTTTGAGAGAAGTTCAGTGACATACACACTCACAGAAGAATTATATATATAAAGATGCATAATGATATAATATAACATTTTATGTATATAAGTAACTTAATACTAAATTGTCATAAAATCTTATTTTTTTTGTAATAAATATGGATGAAAAATAAGCTTTTGGCTCTTATATAAGTTAGTAGTTTCTGTAAAAATTACTTTATTACAATACTAGCTATGTAGGTAGGTTTTAAATTTTTAAGCAGAATTCTAATGCTTTTTCTAAAATAAAAGTAGCTTAAGTTACTCCTTATAACATCAGCTATATGCCAGTGAAAGTCCCATCAAAATCGGTCCAGCCGAACAAATAGACAGATAAAAAATTAAAATTTGTGTTTTTCTTATAAGTACTGTATATAATTCTATATGCATTTAGTAAAAAACTGTTATTTTGCATAAAAAGTAAATAACAATGAAAAAATAAATAAATATCAATATTACTTAGTTTGTATCCATTTTATGTACATTTTCAATTATTATTATTTAATGTCTTACAGCAGTAATGAATCACAGTTACGCAGGGACGAAGCTTTGTAAGAATATGTTGATTTTGTTGTTATTTTTGTAGAAATTGTTGTTTTTTTTATTAATGAAGTAACTAACTCGGGGTTTGTTGGTTGTGTTTTAAAAATTAAAATGGTTGTTAATATGTAATTAATTATTTGTTTACCGATTACGTTTTTAGGTAGATTAATTATAATTAATCCAAATACTTAAATAATAAGTTACGCCAAAGAAGTATAACTTCTTACGTACGTACATAAGTACACGCACACACTTTTTTTTTTGTTATATTCATGTTTGATAATATTTTTTTTGGCTTTTAAATAACGGCTTCGACCAACTCGCATTGCGCATACTTATTAAGGCCACCAATTAAATTAACTTTTTTGTTTAACAATGTAATAGATTTTGTAGATGATTATATTAATATTGTTACTAATTGTCTTGAGTTTTGGAATTGAGTTTTTTTTTCTAACTTGGTATCTTAATTTGACGACACGTATGGCTCAGTTTGTAGTGATCCTACTTGCTTTGCCAGCGGTCGCGGTTTCGAGTCCCGCTGGGGGCATTCATTTGTGTGACGACGAAGGTTTGTACTCCAGTAATGGTTGTTTATATTTATAATATGTATGTATTTAAAGTTATATATGTTTAGTGTATCAACTATCTGATATCCATAACACAGGCCTTGTAGCTTACCATGGAACTAGATGGTGCTGTGTGTAATGTCCCAACATATTTATTTATTATTTGTGTGATGAGCACGAATGTTTGTACTCCAGTCATGGGTGTTTATATTTATAATATGTATGTACTTAAAGTTATATATGTGTAGTGTATCAACTATCTCGTATTCATAACACAAGCCTCGTAGCTCACCATGAAACTAGATGGTGCTGTGTGTTAATGTCCAACATATTTATTTATTTCTAATTTAATGTTACAATAATTGAGTGAGATTTGTTCAGACTATTCTTCAAATATGTATATTTTATTAACCTAATTTTATTGACACATGCTTTTTCTCCAGTTGATAATTTTATCAGTTGTCACATTTGCTATAGGCAGGGAGCTGGCTGCTTCGAAAGTGGTCTCTTATGAAAGTTTTGCTTCTCAGATTTATTTAAGAAAATATATAAGAAAAAAACGATAAATAAGCGTTTTGTTATAATCAATACGGGTTTGTTTAATTAAAAATAATTAATTTATCATACCAATGGTCAGTACCATTGGTATAATAAATTAATTATTTTGATAAAAATTTTGGTGTTAGAATTTAGTGTTGTTTCAAAGTAAAAAATTGAACACTCCATTTTTGTACAGAAGCTATAATCGAATGAATGTAGATGGGTATTCTCTAATACGGCGGATATAGTAGGTTTGATTTTTGCATGGGAGTATGTAGGTACATTTAATAAATTGATTATTTCACTATAGTAACGACTGGACACATAGTTTCGATTTTACTGGATGTATACAACATTCTCCATGTTTTCACCGTTAAGAGGCAGAAACTATAGTGTCAAAGCGCGAAAATAGATAATAATGTTTATTATAAAAAGTAACTTTTGGTTTTCAACTGCATATTTTTACTAATCACTTACTAAGAAAGTTCTTAATCAAAAGTTATTTTTAGTTTTGTATTAAATTATGTATAATTCTGATTACTCTGATCATAATATCGGTAATGATTATAACCAAAATTATGATTAGAATGATCAGAAAAATCCGAAAAATCGTGATCGAATTCTCAATAAGCAATGATCGCTATAAACATGATCATCATCAGCCGCAAACGCTCCTGGTCCCTTGAAGAGTGCTCCATCTGCTTCGAAGTGATCCTCCGCGACCAGGAGGTGATGAGCCTCCCCTGCACCCACCACTTCCACACAAAGTGCATCTTGCCCTGGCTTCAGGAGCAGCAAACGTGTCCCAACTGCCGGAAATCAGTCGATTAATGGTGAGACCTTTATCCTATTTATGTTCAATCCCATAAATATTATAAAAAGTTTCGATGGATGGATGTTTGTTACTGAATCACACAAGAACGGCTGTACAGATCTGGACGAAATTTGGCACAGAGATAGACAGTGTAGTCTGTAATAGCGCATAGGTTACTTTTTTTATTGGAAAAATGTACGGGTCCCGTGGGATATCTATACAAACTGTTAAAACGTATTAAATTTATAAAAATGATAACGAAAGTCCCGCTGTAAAAAATGTAATAATTTAATGCTAAATAAAATATTTTGAATTTGAATTGAATCACTTGTTTTAGTATATATAAATAGGTCTATATGTTTGTGGGGATTTTCGGAAATGCTTAGATAAAACCTTTTTTTTTTCCAGAACTTCGCGTTAACTCACAGGAGGCTTAAGGGCTTGGCAGGACCAGTGTCCATATCATCTTTTATAGAAAAATTTGACTGAAATCTGAAAAAAAGTACATATAAAACCAACTCGATCTTGATTCTTTTTCTAGTCTAGATTTTTTTTAGATTTCTAGCCAAACTTATACTATAAGACCTTCTAAATATTAAAAAAAAACTTGCACTAAATATAAAAAAAAAACAAGTAGATAAGTTAGTTTGGATGCAAATTTTTATTGTAATTAAAATTTGTTATTACTAAATTCCTCGTACAATATTTTTAAATTTAAAAAATATCTTAGTCTATAGATAATAATTTAGTTTAATGTTAAGTGTTGCTTGATTTTTTTTTCTCGCTATTGTATTTGAAGTAGAATTTGAGTGTTGCCACTTTCTTACTATTTTTGTTTGTATAGTACATTATTTCTATAACTAAAAAAAGAAAATATGTAAAAAAACTAGTTTTTTTTTAAACTTATTTTCACACTATGGCTTGGGAGGTGTATACTAAAAACGAAAATTAAATCCAATCTTCATTTCTACTGATATTCTCTCTCTCTCTCTCTCTAACTAAACATGAAATAAAATATTTCTTTTTTTTTAAAGCAAAATGATAATTTTGATAAATTAAGTACTGATTGATGTTTTAAAAATTATAATATAACAATTCTAATTGAAATTGTGATATTTTTGTATAATATAATGCTTTAACCGACTTCATAAAAAAGGGATATAAATATAATATTATTTCAAGAAAAGACAGTCAAAATAGCAATCGTCTCTTAGATTATTTTCGGTTGATTTAAAAAATTAGTAACAATTTTTGTAATTTTTTAAATATAATTTAATGTTCTATTTTGTAATTGTTTTTCCTTGTTTTTAATTTCCGTACTCTTTTCTTTTATTTTTAAATATTTGCGTTTTCTTTTTTTTTCTGTCAATCTTTTTTTTTTATGAGCTTTAGTGACAAAGAACGAATGGCGTGATGCCAACATTTTTTTTATGCGAAAAATTAAACAGGAAATTAAATTGTATGTTAATTAGATTTAAATTACGGTGAAACGCTGCCCTTATTTTTCTTTTAGCATTATTTTGTGTATGACAATGAAATATCAAATATGTAATATACCTAGTTTAGTTTTGATCAAAAATGTGATAGACATCGAATTTGCTCATTTGTTAAAACATAATAAATATCCTAAAATATTTGAAATTGTGTTTTTCTTTCTATTAAACATAACTAAAAATATGGTTTTGTTAGATTGTATGTAAAAAAAATATATTTTTAAATAAAAATAATATTTAAAAATTTAAATTTAAAATTAATTCAGATCAAGATGCAGATTATAATTAAGATTATGATGGATTACAATAAATAAATTTAAATGTCCAAACTCGAAGGTGTTACCAAAAGCCATTGAAGAGTTCCACTGTCCACCTTCTGAGACCAGCATCAGATCAGCTCGATGACATCGAATTTATTGTCGTCCTGAGTTCATACACGTGTGTAACTTAAAAATATACATATTTACCCAGATATGTACTTAAAGCAAAAGAAACTAATAAATGCAGGTTCCCATTCAAAGGTAATATCAGATTTTTTTAGATCATCAGAAAAATAAATGATCTAGATTCAATTCGATTAGAATAATTGAGAATTTTTTTTCTTATTCGTTTTTTTTTGTTAGAAAAACAGTTAATGGATAACTAAGAAAAAACTAGTTTTTCTTGTTAAAAATGGCTTTAATCTGATGTCAGAAATAAAAAATATAATTTAATACTTTCTTAGATTTACGCGATTATTTGACATTTTAAATAAAATTTCGAATGATTTACATCAATCATGTTCACGGGAGAGACTTGACCCTTAAGAGTTTAGATATATCAAAAACATTATATGCCCAAAATAAATCTGCGAAAAAATCCGAAAAGATAAATATTTTGGTACATTGATACAGCACCATCTAGTTCCATGGTAAGCTACGAGGCTTGTGTTATGGATACAAGATAGTTGATACACTACACATACATAACTTTAAATACATACATATTATAAATATAGACACCGATGACTGGAGTACAAACATTCGTGCCCATCACACGAATGCCCCCACCGCGACTCGAACCCGCGACGGCTGGCACAGCAAGTACACTACAAAGTACAAACTGAGCCAAACGCGTCATGAAATAGAGAGTTTTATTTAAAATATAATTTATTTTTACGGAGGCCTTAAATCCGGCTCTGACGAATATAAAGGCAGTAAATGACATTTTAATTTATTTTTTTATGGCAAGTCTCAATCAGAAATCTAGATAATCTGTAAAATAAAAAAAAAGTTAAAATTAAATTATAATATTATGTTTGTTCTCTTTGCTGTTGTTTTAATATGTAAGTATTTTTTTTATTTTTAAACTAGCGACTCTCATCCTTGACTTTCATCCCTATTTTCACTCCTTTAAGGGATGATTTCCGGGATAAAAACTATACTATGTCCTTCCCAGTGCATCAAACTATCTTTGTACCAAATTTCATCTAAATCGGTTCAGTAGTTTCGGAGCTTATTCGGTACAAACAAACAAACAAATCTTTCCTCTTATAATATATTTTATTGTATTCAGCCCTTTTTAACGTCCCACTGCAGGGCACTGGCCTCCCTTCAATACGACGGGGATCAGGCCATAGTCCACAACGCTGGCCAAGTGCGGGTTGGCGGACTTCACATGTCTTTTGAAAACTTTAGGTTATCTCAGACATGCAGGTTTCCTCACGATGTTTTCCTTCACCGTAAGGCACGCGGTAATCATGTTCGAAATGATTCGCACATGAAAATATCAGAGGTGCGAGACCCGAGATTTGAACGTCACCACTGGGCAACCACTGCCATATATAGATTAAAAGAAATGTAACGCAAAACAAATCTTTATATTCGAGCTTCTTTTGATGATGATGATCATGTTCTCCTAGCCGATTCCGGCCACGGCGGCCAATCTCATTGAGATTAGCCAACTGCGCAGGAGATATTATAGTGCTCAAGTGTACGCGCAGACACAACGTTCACTCTCTATTCCTATCACTCTCATACTCCGGTGGGACGACACGAGACACTCGCGGTGAGAGTGTCGGCGCAGGACCGACGGCTTTACGTGCTCTCCGAGGCACGGGGGTGAAACACCGCCAACTTCCCAACTCCGGGCTGTTACTGAGACTTACTATACAGAAAGACTCAATAACTAAACTTGGCCCGAAACGGGACTCGAACCCAGGACCTCCGGGTGTGCAGCCGTACATGCTAGTCACTACACCACCGAGGCAGTAGCATCATCTTCTTTTGACACATGTATATATGTGGTAGCCGAGCTTGTTTTACACGAGGATAACTTTTCCCTTTATTAAGTTAAAAATTTCTATATTTTCTTGGTCCTTTATATTATTGTCTCATTCATTATTTAGTAATGCTAATATTTTGCATGGGGTTTTTCATCAATCAAAAGTACTAGATACACAATCCCATGCAAAAGTTCTCTTAAAACTGTCACCAATTGTGTTTAGGTAATTGTTCTAGTTGAAATAAACATATGTTATACTAGAATTGCCCGCGGCTCCGCCCGCGTTCAAATGACCAAAAACCAAATTCTTTTTTGGTTTTACATATTAGTATACTCTTACATTGCAGTTTTTGTATTTTTTCTCAGAAATGAGACATTTTTCCGCGGTAAAAAGTATCCTATATGTTGACCCGGATAACCAGCTATCATCATAGAAAATTTCATCAAAATCCCTCCAGTGGTTTTCCTGTGATGCGGTAACAGACAGACAGACAAAAATTCTAAAAACTATAGATTCGGCCTCTGTAACGATAATAATGTCTATTTCAATAAGATTTTCCAAAAAATATTTAATGTACAGATTCGGCTTAGTTATAATTTTATTATACGTATAGATTTAGAGGCTTTGGTATTGTGTAAAGAGTATTAAGTTACTTTAAAAGCAGCGATGACATTAATATTACGTATACTGTTAACTGTATGTACCTAAGTATAGAATAAAATTTCAGTAACATCTCTCGAAGCAAAACGCTTGCTTCCTTCAAGCCAACTCCGAGGTGGTAACCGTTTTTATGCCAGCAACCGTAGTTTCTGGCCTCCAGAGATACGAAAAGATATAATACGAGCTTCTTCCGCTGAAAACTATCCGTTTAGAAGAACTGACAATATTAAAGAAAATATTGAAAAAGCCATAATTTTCTTGATGCGACCCAAAATAAATGAATTATATTTGGTCAGTGATGTGCAAAAGCATAAAAATAAGAAGTCTTTGTCTTTTCCAAGTGGATATGAAATAAAAAAAATAAAAAATGGAAGGCCTGAAGCAGCGTTTAAATTGTCAGAATTAGTAATTTGAAATATATTTTTGTATATCTGTTTAGTGTTTTGTTTTTTATATATGTATATTATTATAAAGAGATAATATTTTTGTTTGTTTGTTCATAATAAATATTCTCTGAAATCACCGAATGCGATAACTTAATATACCAGCGCCATTGGGTCTCATCGTGAAGCAAGAAAAATTGGTTCAAATAAATGTCAATAGATGGCGTTATTTATATGTATAGATTTGTCACTGAAGTTTGTGTGAAAATAAAATGAAATAGATCCCAAAAAGGTTTTTATAGTTAAAAATCTTTTAATAAAGTTAAAGGTAATCCACTAATATATCAAATTCCAAAAAAGTCAGCAATCATGTAGGTATTGTCAGTATATGAATATGAATTCATTCATACAGCATATTTTATGAGTTATTTATCACGTTCGAAAACTTCTATAGTTTGTAAGTCACTGAATTTTGATGGGATTTGGGATGGTTCTATACTATGTAGTGTAAATATATAGTACCTGGGCTACTAAGCTTCGCTTGGAATTTTTGGCCTAAAGTACAATTTTCTTTTTTTTTTAAACTAAAAACTTGAATAAATATAAAAAAAAACAAAAGTAAAAACTTTACATGAGATATTTGTAATATATGTGTGTAATATAAAAGCGTCTCATCAGAAACCATTA